GTATTTTATTTTCATTATAGGCTATATGCAATGTGATCTTTAAAAAACAGCTATGACCTGCGTTTTATATTTACACAAATACTGGCATTTGTTTTTAAATGTAAAAGCTTTTTATATAAACTTAATATATTTAATATTTCTGAATTACATTAAATAATAAAACGGAAAATTATAGACCCCATTTTATTGATATTTAAATAGTACAAACTTGTTTCATTGAACTATTCTTTAACATATAGGCGCTGTATTAAGCAGGACATAAATTACTGAATGAAAAGGCTTTCTGTTACCACATGTAAATGTCTAAAACGTTTGTTTATTTGATAAATATATCTAACCAACTTCATCTAACTGCAATAAAGACAGCAAACAGTGCGCGAGAGTCGCGGGAATCAGTGACTGCAATGCTCCGTTTTCAACTCCTCCCTCGACTTCAAGCGGCAAATCTCGCCGATCGGTATTCAGTAAATTCGTTTGAGATGCCAGACGCCTCTCCCTGAATGAGGACGAGAATAGACAGCAGCAGTCATCCTCTAATCGTATTTGTGGCAGTTGTACAAGCGTCTTGGTGAACTCCATGCTGGTAGCGATAGCGCTTTACTAGGCTGGCGGAAGTAAGAATACCCTGCTTCGCGTCATAACGGAAGTTGCGTGACGTCATGTGAAAAGGGCCTATTAGCATTTTAATCTAAAAAAATAACATGAGAACTAGTCTCCCAGAGAGAAAAAGGGAGAACAACAACAAATTTGCATTGTAAATTTAACATATATCAGAGTAACATACGTCCTCTGGGTGCAGATTCTCCTCTTCCCACTTCCTGTAATCAACAACGTATTGGTTGTACTGCCTGAGGTCTTCTTCATAACACAAGCAGTCATACCAATAACGCAACTCTTCATACCTGCAACAAGAATTTAGTTTCATTGCATCTTTATATACCAGACATGCCCAAACCAGGGCCCGTGGGCCAAAGTTGGCCTTTGATGACTTTTGATTTGGCCCTCAATGTACATATTACAATAGGAGGGAAAAATAGGGGGGGGGGCATGCCATTTTTGTTAACATTTTTAAAGTTCCATTGAAATGTAAAACATTGAATTTGATTAAAAAAATAATTTACAATGAAAAAAATTAGTGCTGGGCAATGATTATACACACATATATACACACATACATACAGTGGGTACGGAAAGTATTCAGACCCACTGTGTATATCTATTGTGTGTATGCATGTATGTATATGTTTTTCTTAAATATATACGTGTGTATTTATATATACATAAATATATACAGTACACATATATTATGTAGACAAAAACATTTATTTTGGATGCGATTAATCGTGCTAGCCCAGCACTAAATTTTTTCTTTCTTTAATACATTGTAATATACAGTAATATAGTTGGATATAATGCAACATTTACTTTTTGTCTATGCCCCTCAATTATGCCCCGCAGCTTATCCAACGTATGACATAAAGTCACTCAAAAGTACTGTATTTAAAGAGGGCCCCAGTCTTTTAATAATTAAATTTCCAAGACATTTATCCATGAAACTTGGGTAAAAAAAAAAAAGGTATAATAGAACCAGCATAAAAATAAATGTCTAGCCTTTTTCTCCCCAATTCACTATAATAATAAAAACACATTAAAAAAATTATAATATGAACGATTTTGAGATTTCTTTTAAATGATACAATTATAACATTTTCTACATACAGGATTTCCTCATGGCCATGGGAGACCTGTTTAGAGCATTCCCAACATCACATCTGTGAAGTATGAGGTGTTTTACCGGTCGTAGTCCTGCGGGTGCAGGCGGTACCCCTCCTGCATCATATTATCCCAGTGCAGCAGCTCCTCGTAGGCCTGGTGCTCGTCCCAAGCAGGTGGTGGTCGAGGAGGAAGAGGTCCTTCCCTCCGCCTCGGAAAACTCCCCATTTGATCCATTTTCCTCAAACAATCACCTGAAACTTACGCAAGCCGCACAACGTTCATAGTAAATAAAGGATTCAAACAGAAAACCCCATCAAAACACTCATGGAGTTATCAAGTTAACAAGCCAGACAATTAATGGTTCCCGCTGGACTTCTTATTAAAACGGAAACTTCATAAAACTGCAAAAATGAGACACATTTTCAAAATAAAGCATCTATCGCGTCTGTACAAAACATCTGATATCGGCGAAGCACGCCAGCACGCGCACGGCGAGGCGTTTGAATAACCGATTTAGGCGAAAACAACGATTCATATTTACCAGCACAGCTGCTAGTACAACCAAAATGTGCAGACGCCTTTAAGATCGCGTAAGGTAGATTTTAATATCGCGTGTCCATGTGTTTATTTGCATAGCTAAACAAATTTGTGGTACTCACCATTCACTCAGTTTACTCAATGGATGGAAGCGTAAAAAGCTCCACTTCCGGGCCATGCACTGACCCCGCAGCGCATGCGCACTCAAATTTCACCTCGCCTAGCGGAGACATGAGGAACTCCATTTATTGTGGACAATTTTTTTTACACCTTGTAAAAAGAATGCACACACACACACACACACACAACCTGCAGGAACGATTCATTGGTCGTTCCTATTATGCAGTGCATTTCATGTGTATTATTTTTTATGTTTTGTTTGGGGTAGGTTGTCACATTATTATTCAAATTAGTCAATTACAATTACTATACAATGGTCTGGTAGGCTACTATGTTCCATTTTGGCAGTTTTGAACTTTTTTGTGCATAAAATCTTGTATTAAACTATTTAATGACAGCTTACCTCGTACATTACAACATGTTGAATAGGTCTTGGATAACAAATTAAAATGATTAACCAGTGATCATTAATAGTACTGCCTGGGAATCATTATTCTGGCTTTTGGAATATTCTGTTTGTTTATAAGTTATAGAGAGCTTGGTTTATTGAGCGTCGTGCATCAAATTAGGTAGCCACAGAAATTAAATTCAAACACAATAAGCTTGCTTTGTTTTATTATAATGCTTTTCAATGTAAAATAACAACATTAAAAGCCTCCAGAAAATTGGAGGGATAAATAAAATATACAATAATATGAACATTATTATTCACATGAGCATTTTTGCACAGTAACATATATGCAAGACAAACATAAAGGAAAACTCTCTTATCCCTTCTGTGAGGGGAAATAATGTTCACCACATAAAATATGAGTTTACCTCACAGTTAATATATTGTTGATGATCATGCTGTACAAAATCTGATTAGGTGAACAATTCTTTTCAGTAAAACAAAGATTAAAATGTTTTTTGTGCCTCTTGTTACTGTCATGTCAGTTTTCATGCCCAGGGCCGTCATCATGTGGAACAACTAGGGACACATAAAAACACTGTCCCAGACCTAAAGCTTCAACACTGGCTGAATTAATGCTTCAATTACTATCACCAGTGTATTTTCTGTATTGAGGGCCCAAGACAGCAAATAGCTAATTGCATGAAAGTTTCCAGCCAAATCCTTATTATTAAGTGTTTTACATGGAGTAATAGGAATGTTCATCTCATGCTTTATTTATCTTTGTGCAAATTTGCTCAAATAAATACATTCTTAACATAGCGAGTGCAGTACATGCTGTAATAAAGGGGCCTAGTGAGATCCTCTGGGGTAGAGCTGACTGACACGGAGTAGGCCTCCTGTTGTTATTGATGCACACTCAGATTCTACCGACAGGATTCTTCTCAGAGCTGGGGAAGGAATGGATCTCCCAGCAGCGAAAAGTGCTTTCCTTAAAGTCTGTTGGACGTTTGGTAATGAAGTAAATCTTTTGGAGGACGGAACGACGAAGAAGAATGTAGACCCATGGGTCCAGTATCTGGTTCCAGGATGCTATCCGCACCCCCATTATCATTAGGGTCTTAAAGGTGGCAAGGTCATCTCCAATAGAACCCTCGTATGACTGTTTCACTGTAATTAGGCCAACAATCTAAAGTTAAGAGACAAAGACAAAACACCATAAGGATTATGACAAAATATCCATGCAGGTCTAAGAAATCCACAGTCCAGTCTATTAAAATATGAGGTGCTTTCCAGTTCATGTACTTATACTATTCTATGTCATTTTGTTATGAACTATGCCCAAAAAAGCTGAGATTTATACCTTGAGTTTGATACCTTAAGTTATGTGCTTCATTTAAATAATAATAATAATAACAGTAACATTTAGACGCTGAAAGCTGTTTCTGCCTCAGAGAAAACATTTTAAAGTAATCATAAGATAAATTTAAAAATAAGAAATATAAAATATAAATAAATATAAAAATCACAATGTGACATGCAAAGTTGCAGGTTATATATAAAATTACAATTAGCTTTGTAATTTTGTTTACTCTGGCATAAATGGGCATCTATTCAATTGTTTAAACTTTTCATTTATATGGAGAACCGTATTGTCCACAGATTCAAACCTTCCTCAAAAGTGCTCAAGTTCTTAAGTTATGTGCTTCATTTAAATAATAATAACAGTAACATTTAGACGCTGAAAGCTGTTTCTGCCTCAGAGAAAACATTTTAAAGTAATCATAAGATAAATTTAAAAATAAGAAATATAAAATATAAAATATAAATAAATATAAAAATCACAATGTGACATGCAAAGTTGCAGGTTATATATAAAATTACAATTAGCTTTGTAATTTTGTTTACTCTGGCATAAATGGGCATCTATTCAATTGTTTAAACTTTTCATTTATATGGAGAACCGTATTGTCCACAGATTCAAACCTTCCTCAAAAGTGCTCAAGTTGCTGGAAATGCACAAAATAGGTCACAGAAACCATTACTTTGTGGCTACTTGAGATGCTTTCTTTTCTTCTTGTTTTAAGCACGTTTGCATGGCAGAAAAAGCACTTGGTTGCCAAAGTCTTGTCACGTTTTTTCAAGAATATCAGGGCAACCGTTTCAAAGACTGTCAACATAAAAACGCAAACAATCTGAGTGAAAATGTGGTCAATTAGCCTACTCTATTAATTAACCAAATTTGTCTACTAAAGATCTACACTCTTAAAAATAAAGGTGCTTCAAAAGCTTCTTCAAGCGATGCCATAGAAGAACCATTTTTGGTTCCACAAAGAACCATTCAGTCGAAGGTTCTTTAAAGAACCATCTCTTGCTTACCTTTTTATAATCTGAAGAACCTTCTTTCGCCACAAAGAACCTTTTGTGAAACAGAAAGGTTCTTCAGATGTTAAAAGTTCTTTATGGAACCATTTAGACAAAAAGGTTCTTCTATGGCATCATGAAGCACCTTTATTTTTAAGAGTGTACTTCCTATATAGTCTTTACTTACGTTTATTAGTTTACATACATGTATGTTCCTATACGCATATGTATCATATTTAAATTAACTGTACCTACAATTTATATTTTTGTGCTTGGTTTTCACTGATTTTAACTACAGTGTGTTATTTAGTGAGCTTGCTTTACTTATTTCTTTCAAGACAGTTTTCATATTTGTAGTGGTTTTATGGCTTTACTATTATGCCAGCATATATAGGGCCAATTTTCATGATGGAGCTACTAAACCCATTGCTAATACTCACCAGAAGAGGGCTCCAGCAGATACAAGATGTGACCATTATGCCTACAAGTTGCACCACCATCTCAATATCATGGGATCTAGCTGATCGACGGTTACAGGGTTTCTTTCGTATCCTCGCTAACACTAGCGTCAGTCCACTTATGGTGTTACACACCAAAGCAACAGCAAGGGATGTCAACCCCAGTCCTGAGAACAACATAACAAAGGCCACGTCTGCCTTCTCTGTGTCCTCCAGCAGTTTAATGAAACACCAGGTTCCAGGATACTGGTAGGTATATGAACCCAGCTGAAAGCAGGGCAGAAGAGCAACACAAAGAGCTGCTAACCAGATAACAGAAAGTGAGAGCTTAGTCCTTGTGGTTGTAACCAGCGAAGCATGGAGCAGTGGCTTTGTCACCCCTAAACACCTCTCAGCTGCCATGGCGCAACCAAGAAAGAGCGGACACAGTCCGAAAAACACCATGCTGCCTCCTAGAAACTGGCATAATGGGTCCGCCCTGTTGTATTCTTCAGAGGGTACACCTCCAGAAAGATACAGCCTCATAACTATTGAACCAGGTATGACATGCCCCACAAAGTCTGTGGCCACCAAAGAGCTGGCGAACAGGAGAAATGCCTTGGATCGTCGACGTAGGTGGGCGTAAGCATTTGCCAGGATGAGTAAAGCCACAATGTTAGACAGGATCCCCAGGGTCATCGAGAGCATCGCAGCTATAGGGCCGCTCAGGATCGCTCTCTCCGAGGTGACATTCTCGGATTCGGCAAGTGATGGAGAGGTCGGCTGTCCTTCCCATTGACTGTCATTGGAAAATGGGCTGAGTGGCACAGCATCTGATGAATTGCAGTGATGCATGGCTAACTCAGAGGAGTGTTTGGGTGCGGGGCTCCCATCTTCATGTAGAGCTGCTGATAGGATGGAGAAATATGTCTTAGAACAGATCACCAAGAAATCAAAATGAGTAGTGTAGCCATTAAGTGCATTTTAAAAGGTACAACTTTTTTTGCTTACTGAATACTTTTTATCATTTTTAAAAATACAGAGCATAAATATATAAAAAAAATGTATGTGTGATTGTCACATCACATAGCATGTTTAATGTAGCGAGTGCCGTCTATTAATAATCTTTGAAATAAACACTGTAATTTTGCATTTTTGAACCAATTTCTTATGTAATATGTTTGGTCACGCCAATCAATTAATGTGTCAAGAAAGAGATAACTTTCAGTAAATGTAGTATGTCATTTTTTTTAGTGAACAGTAGCTATATGTGCAGTACTATAATGCAGCAAAAAAGTTTGTACGTTTTTACAGAAAAATACTCAAATGTATCCTACATTCTTGTGTTACATTTTCTGTTTTATGGACAGGAAAAAATAGTTTTAGAAGATTATTGGAGTACATTTCCCAAGAAAATCCTCGGTCTTTCTGCTTCAAAAATTCACATTTAATTCAATGCGTTACTTGCCGCTTCTTTGTAAACATTTGTGAAATTTACCAGCAATTTCTGAGTGAAAATGTTTTCGACACTATTTATTTTAAGCGTACAGTGATCATGCTTCTTTTCTATACCACCTACATTATTATGGTGGTGTTCGGTATTTTGAGTTTAATATATTAACATTATATCACTTAATGAAATATATTGTTATAAGTTGTAATATCTTGCAATCCTGTAATGATTTTATTTTTAAATGGTGAATTCCTGAAACCATGGCTGGCCAATTGTACTATAAATTTATTGGTATATTTTTATTTCATTGACCATTTTAAAAAGCACC